ATAAATTGTGCCCGTAGCTGACACGAAGATCAATCTAGAGATAGAGGAACATGACCTGGTTGACAGTCCTATTACCCAGACACATTTTCATTATTTATTAATCTGCTGATTATTTCATCAATTAATCATTTGGTCTATGGAAGGTTGGAATACATAATAAATACAAATATATATATAATATATAAAATAAAAAATGCAATTCAAATGTTTTATTCAACCCAAAGATATTCAATTTACAACAATATAAAGAAAAGCTGCAAATCGTTACATTGAAGAGGCTGCATCTTTTGGTCTTTTTACTACAATCAAAAGATGACATTTTATTTGGAAAATCCACCTACAGATAGTTAATGAAGTATTTGTAACATTTCAACAGTTTATTAGTTGAGATTCAACAACCGTTTTCTGATTTTACGCTACTGTTGTTAAGGTTTGGTGAGGAACATATAATTATAGATAATCTGTTAAACATCTACAGATAAAGCGGAACAGCTGAAATGTAACAAATACTACTATAATACTACGTATGTGTCGGAAACAACCAGCGAGGAGACTGAACATTTAGTTCATTTAATTCAACACAGTATAACATCACACAAGCGCCATTGTTCAAAACACGGAATAAATAACTTCCAACAACTCTGATGGATGTAAAACGTTTACGGCTACTCAGATCCCACCGAGATATTTGGATCCTCTGCGTGAACTGAGCCAAAGCACTAGGGTTAATTTAGTGGAGTGGTTTGATTCAAATGCATATCGAAAACCACGGCCTGTTTTTCACACAGCTGGCTGAGACGTCTGAGGCTACAAGTCTAGCTACGCACTTAAAACAGTGTCAGCCAAGAGCAGAGAGGGGATTTAAGTCTCTGAGATCTGTTTGGACGAGCAGGAATGAAGAGTCTGCTTTGCTCTTTCATTTTTCTTCACTCACTCCTCTTTCTTCTTCTTCTTCACACACACACACACACACACACACACACACACACACACACACACACACACACACACACACCCCTCCTCCTCCTCCAGCCCTCTCTCTTTTCTGTCTTCTGGAGGTTTGACACAAGTTTTTCTCATCCTCACTGGCAGCTGTTGCCATGGTTGTGTCAGCGCCTCCGAACTACCTGGGATGGTATTTCCATGGACACAGATCAGGATGGCATTGGGCTCTGAGGTGTAGGAGGGAGGCAGTTCACTGGTGTCAGCAGTTCTGTGTGTTGGAGACCGACTGACGGAGACAGAGCGGGGAGGAGGAGGAGGAGGAGGAGGGAGGAGGAGGATTAGGGTCTGGGAAGATATTAAACAGAGAGGAGCAGGAGCCGGAAAAAAAAAAAAAAAGAGTGAACATGAGAGTGAGAGGCGAGGGTATTTCGCTGCAGCCACTGTTAAAGGGTAATTTCAGCTCAGTGCAGATTTATCTTTTTAACACAGTTGTTCAGTTTAGATCCGTCAACAACAACAAAACGAGAGGAACGAACCGAGGCACCCCCCGGGGGGGGGGGGGAGTCGCGCGCTAAATCCTGGAGCTTTTCCATTAACACTGGAGAGGACATAATAACATTTGAATGACATGATTATACCGGTTTTCCTGCACTTCATGATGAATCACAAATTATGACCTACACGACAAAGTGACTCTTTAATGCATCATTCTCTGTTTCCATTAGAGCCCAGGAAGAACGGGATTATTTGTAGGCTGATACTGACATTGATATTTGAGAAGAATATAAATCTGACCACAATACATCAACTGTGAAATTAAATGATTATAAATAATCAAATATTATAGTCAAACATTTATAACTCTAATTTATTTAAAGGTCCAGTGTGTAACATTTAGGAGGATCTGGAAATGGAATATAATATGCATAGGTATGTTTTCATTAGTGTATAATCACCTGAATATAGGAATCTGTATGTTTTTGTTGTGTCGCCTTCCAGGGAGTCCGCCATGTTGAACCACCATGTTTCTACAGTAACCCAGAGAGGACAAACCAAACCTGGTTGTCGATGGGGGGCCTTTCGTGCTTTTCACTGCCGCCGTAGTTTCTCCCACATGCTTGGCAGGCTGAGCTGTATTCAAATGGTTGCAATCTGGAACTCCACCACTAGATGGCACCAAATCTGGGCCTTTAACAAATCTTTATTGCTTCTAACTTTTCTTTAATCTATGTTTTTAGTGGAATACTGGATCATTTTACCTCTTTAAATAAAAAAATCTGAGAAAGTTGGTTGAATTGCCCAAAATTGCAACCTGTGTTTCAAAGGACACAAGCCAAACAGATCAGAAACCACTACTTTAAAATATATACACATATTAGTGCATCCCAACTGTTAACAAATGAGTGTGTTAACAAAAAATATTGGCAAATGAATGCTTTACGCTTTAATTAGTTTTATTTAACCTAATAGGCAGGTGATAATGTTTTTGACTTTCATTTCAGGCTGCAGCGTGTTAGCTGAAATGGATCGTCTCCACCTTATTGGATTTTTCTTGACTTTGTCACTGAGTAATGGTTCCCTGGTTTCTTATTTGAATTTGATGCGCTCAGAATATCGTTAGCAAATCATGTTTGATGTGCTTAAGATAACAGTAGTCTTGTGAATTAGGTTTAAGGTTTCGACTTTACGTCCACCAGATCAAGGTCTCACACGCCCAGGTTGTTCCCGGAGGGTGAAAATCAGTCGATCTTACTGATATCAGACACCTGTGTGGCCCAACATAAAGGCATCCACCCCCTCGGCCGTCACATAAAGCTGACATTCCCCATTCCCTTCTCTTATCCGTCTGCCTCGCAGTCATTGTAACCTCGATAATGCTTCTATTGATGAATCATCTTTTCTCTGCCTGTTTGACAGCAGGGACTCGGCACGCAGACAAAAAGCCCCCCTGTAGCCTCTCCTTCTTGATCCCCTTCACTTCCCGTACATCCAAGCAATCAAGGACAACTGCAGATGGCGCTGAGCGTCCCGCCTGTAAGGCCGAGTGTGTTTATATAATCTACAGAGAGCCGATGAACAAAACGAGAGGCTGCGACTGACTGTCAGGTCTCCCGCTGACCCTCCATCTGTGTGTGACACACTGACCACAGCCTGCTCTGTTTGTGACTCTCTGCACCTTAAAAAAGTCACACTGTTCACCATCAGTGTGCTTTGATTTAAGCAAGTGAGAGTAACACATCCTCCTCCTTAAATTCTGCATCAGTTGTACTCTGTGTTGGTTATTTAAGGAGTTAGTATTTTCCTCTGTGGCTGGCTTTGTGCTGATGAAGTGTCAGGCTTTCCTTTCCTGACTGAAAACAGCTCTGGTTTTAAACCAAATGCAGCAGAAAGAATCGTATGAGCCCACAGGAGACTCTTTAATACCGTATGTTCAGTGTTATACGCTAAATAAGCTACAGCTCTGAAAAAACAAAATATTAAAATATATTCGGGGCATTTGACAGGTACCAGTAGAGACTTGGGATGTTGTGGTTACAATATAATAAAAAAAATAATAATTTACAAAAAAAGCTACTTCCAATTGTTCTGAGTTTCAGTCCTAATTTTCAATCCTCTGTTGTTTTCAAGGATGTTTTGCCCCGGGTGTCTGTTAGTAATTCACTACAGTGCTGTAAATCAATTTATTTATTCATTGTTTTGAGCTCAGGCTTTTATGTCCCTTTTTTTCCTAGATGACACCTCACAGGAATACCTTGCACCTTTCACACAAAGTCATGTTTCACAGACAAGGCACAGCTGTTAGCTGAGAAGTTTCTCTGCGTTCATTTATAGCCAGGAAGCAGATGTTTACCAGCAGTCCACTTTCAGTCTTGTTTGCTGTCGCTAATTACGTACCTAAAGGTTGTTTCCATAGCAGGAAAATATATAATAATATATAATACAATATACAGGAGGAATAAAAACAATTGTTTGTGGCTTTAGATGAAGTTATGTGCTGTAGGAAGTAGCTGCACCCAGCTGCTCACCAAGAAATAGTCCCCAAATACCTTAAATTGTTTACATTACTAAGCATATCAAACAAACAAGAGTCAGTATGTTAATTAGTGATCTTTAGATGTGCTGGTAAGAGGCTAGTTTGTTCCTTCTGCTTCCAGTCTTTATGCTAAGCTACGCTAATCTCTCACTGTCTACAGTGGTAGTGATGTCATAACTTCACTCTTGGAAAGAATGCATGTCGGACGTTTTCCCTTCAAAAGCGTTTATTGCCTCAAACAAAAGGCTGGCTAACTGTTAGCGTCATGTAGCATTCAAGTGTTCCTTCCTTCTATGTTTTGAACAAAGATAACCTTTTCTCCACTTCATCTATAATTATTCACAGCCAGCCTGTTATTCCACCCAAAATGAAAATCACATCCACAACATGAGGAGTTGTAACAGTGGTACTTCACTCCTGACCTCCGTGGAGTGGTCGTATTGGATGCGGTGTTGCGACTCCCCATGCGTGCTTCCTCCTCTCCGCCTCACACAAACAACACAAGTTTCATCAGGACAGTTTTCTCGTTTATTTATTTGTTTGTTTTCTTCATAAAAACTGCTAAGAGCTCTGAACAAATGTCTTTACCTGTCCGCCGAGTGTGTGGCACTGCTGCCGTTGGTGCTTATTAATAATACCGTCTCAGTGCCTTTGTAGTCACAAGAGCCCTCTGCCAGTTGATGTTTTGGAAGCAAAGTGGCGCCGTATGCTCGCCCTGCTTTAGCTCTCGTACTGATCAACAGTTTACACAAAGCTATTGACAGCTTTCCAGAGAAACACTGGTTCAGCATTTCAGACATTTTAGGTGTGAGAGCCACTCGCTAGGCTTACATGAGCACTGCAGCTGGTTCAGTCACACACAGCCTGGAGTTGTCTTTGTGCTCGAAATACCGGATAAGTAATAAGAGGATAAGTGTTGTTTTGAGCTGAACTAAAACACACGGTTGCAGTTCCCAGCAGTCCTGCAGGGAGTCGACTGCAGCAGTTAATATGTCAAACTGTATTTCTGTGTCTTTCTCAGGAGATTCCTTCACTCAATTCCGGTTTTCAGAGGAAAAGGACTGGGAGATGGACTCATTTACAGCCAGTCAGGTAAATCTATATTCCACCCAATCTTCAGTTTAACACACTTTGTATGGATCCTTCAAGCAGACATCACGACTGGACTGAAAATGCTCAGCAGTGTAGGGCCCTTTCACAGGATATAGGTCCAAACTTTTGGTCTGACCCAAACAGCTGAATCAAAAAGAGGTGGTCTAGATCAAATTGAACCATGGTTCAGCTTGTTTGTATTGGGAAAAGATTATTATTATTATTATTGTTATTATTATAATAATAATAATAGTGACAAAGTGAATCCAGTGAATTTTCCTCCATTCATTCAAACTGCGATAGAAAGCTACCCATCGAATTGACATCATGCTGACAGTCTCATGTTGTTGTCACATAGGTGATGATGACAGGAGGTATGTCATGTATTGTTCTCTTGGTGCGCTTACGTAATTAAAATGTGAAACCAAAACTAACCAGATCAAATGTATTCACTGAAACAAAAATGCAAACCTTGATTTGAACCTTCCGGTGTGAAGGCTCACAACCTGTCTGTCGGTTGGTGCGTCCACTACTATTATATGTCTGTACTTTAAAGGTCGGATATTTATAAAGCCTATTTAGGACCAAATAATGGAACCGGCTACAAAATGTGACAATAATAGAGAACCTAATACTGAATACAAAGATGTGACTGCTGATTTTAACACAAATACCTCTATCATCTTAAAATTGATAGCTTTTTAATTTGCCATCATCACTCTTCCAGCACTCGTCTCCGGTTGTGGAAACAAAGCAGTGCATCAAATACAGTCAGGTTATATAACGGTTCCTGAACCCTTTCTACTTCTTGTGTACAGTCAGAGCTACAGTGTTTTGTTTCACTTGTGTGCAAAGTACAAAAGAGTACTGACCTGCACTAGTAGGCTACTTACAATGATTACAAAAGATTTAACATGTTGCGCCAAGGTTTTGACAGACAGTTTTCATGCCCCTGGACACAGAACAGATCTCCCAATGCTTAATTCTCTAAATTCTGAGTATTACTTTTATAAGTTTATGATAAATCCAAAAAACAGCCGCTTTTTACATTTATTTTCCTGTTTCCTCTCTAGATGTCTGCAGTGTTTGTAGACCTCCCAGCACTCGCCCAGAGCCTCCAACAAGTGCCTCTCCACCAGAGACTCAACCTGGAGGCCGAGCTGGTTCAGGTAGGCTGTTTGACTGCACTTAAACAAAGCTGTTAGCTAATGTTTTTAATGTTTAGAATCTCAGTGCCCCGTTGAGGTCATTTTTCCACTAATCGTTTCAGGTCTCGACACCTGTAGAGCTGCCGTCTATGACTCTCGCGCCTAAACAGGAGATACCCAAAACAGCCACGTTGACTCCTCCGCCTGCAGCTTTAAAAGTACTCAACATCAACCAGAAAGTCCTCACGGCTCCAAAACCTGCATTGGTCCCAGACTCACAGGTTTCCTCGAGCGCTGCAGAGCCGCTGGTGGACGATGTCAATGAAGAGCTGGACCAGCTGCTCAGTTTACAGAAACCAGTCTTGGGTGTTTCAGGAAGCCAGTCTGAGAGTGTCGCAGACGAGGAGAGTGCAGTTCCAGAGAAAGGTATAGTATATTCAGCATGCTTTATTTGACCTCTATCATTTCCTCCCAACTCATAGGGAGTAGTTTGACATTTTGGGGAATATGCTGATTAAGTTTCTGGTGGAGAGTTAGACGAGAAGACTGATACCACTGTTATATCTGTACGGAACTTTGCTGATTTTCTTTTTGAGATATTAAACCTTAGCACTGAAGAATTTAAGCACTAAATATCAAATAAGTTCAAAATCATGTCCCATCATGTGTTCTTTTAATCTGCAGCGTGTGAGGAAGTGAAGGAGGTGGTACTGGAGGTGATTGGAGAGAAGATGGAGGAGGTGAAAGACAAAGACGTCACACCTCCCAAGTCCGCTTCCGTCAGGAAGGAAGTGACAGAGGAGGACCTGGAGGACTGGCTCGACAGCATGATCTCCTGACCATCAGCCACCAAGGAAAGGCTTGATTAAAGACACAAGACTTCTATATAATGGAAACTGGACTTTGAGTTCCCTACTTCAACTTCCGTCCTTTAAAAATTTAATCTGAACTGTGAAACATTCGACCTGAAAGCCGATTGCAAAGTTTACATGCTGGACAGACGTAAAAAGGACTCGATAGTTTTCTTTCAGGTTGGCCTCCACTTTTTTTGCTTATTAAAAAAATGGTGGTCAAGTTACTTTAGAGGTGTAGAGACGGGACAGTACGTCTCGAACGTTTGTGAGAATGTGTCATGATGTTCCCTCTGCACTTCATGTTTCAGAGAAATGATTCTCTGTTCTTTGTGAGACTGTGAAAGTTACACACCACAGGAGTGTCGCCATCAGAGGGATCCTCAGCTGCCGAAAAGGGATGGACAACACGTTTGATTTATTGCGTCAATTACTTTATTCATTTCCTCCCCCTCATCAAAAGAAATGCGGTTTACCAAAGCTACTACATACATATAAATGGCCATACAATAGCAGTTTGTCGTCAATAAATCCTTGAACCAAGTTGTTTTTTGTTTTTTTTCATTTTGTTTTGGGGCTCTTCTACTGTGGAAAGAAGTGCAGGCGGGCAGGACACCACAGCTTCGAAACAAAACCAAACTAAGCAACATTTATACAAGGATCATCTAGATTTTATACAACAAATGTCTTCTCTCTTTTTTTTTTATGTATTTAAAAGCCACAAAACTAGCTCAAGCTAAATCTCTTCATAACTAATCCAGAACTAGAACGCACTGCTCGTGTTGGGAGGAACAAAAATGATTCTCTTTTTTTAAATTTTTTTTTGCATAGTTTCTCATAAGGCACGTCGGCACTTGATAAACACCTAAAGTGAGTCGTCTCTGGTCCTGGAAGAACCATCTTCTGTAACTCTTCATTTCTTTTGACAGATTTGAAAGGCAGATCAGGTCTCACTCTCACGTCATTTGAATGTTGAACTGGATCAACAGTAATCGATACTAGCAGCACACATCCATTCGGTTGGTTTGGTAGTAAGTGACACAAACATCCTGGCGTTAATCTAGAAATTGTGCATATTCAGACATTCAGTTGTCATGCTGTAACCCTTCACATGTATCAAATGTCTACACACAACAAATTGTGCAACAGGTTGGGGTTAAGCAAGTGAAAAGGCAATGTGAATCAAAAGAAGAATTTGCATAAAAGAGGCGTCGTGGCAAAGTGACTATTTTCGGTAACGAGGAAGAGGACTTGGATGCACAAACCCGAAATGTCCAATCAGTTGTTTTGTCTTTAAAATAATTTTCTTGAAATTATGTTTTGTATATCTGAATTCAACATGAATGTTTTTGTTTTTCTTCACATTTTTTCTTTTTCTTTTTTGACACCATGGCAGCAGAGAAAGTCCAGCGAGTGTTCAGGTTCTGTTAACAGGGTGAAGTCAAGTTCAGCGTCTCTTTCAGATAGAAGGAAAGTAAAGTAGAGAGGGGTGTTTGGGGCACAAGACGAGGCTGACCTCTCTAACCCAACTGGTCCTCATATTGCTTACGGAAGCAGTCTCCAGTAGGGTAGAAGTCCCAGCATCTCTCCTGGTACAACTTCCACACGAAGGACTCCTGGAGGGGAAACAAATTAATCTGTTTATAATGATTTCATTTAACACAGTAAGAGTTTACTGGCTATGGGGAGTACCGCTAAGCCTTCTTAAAAATAGGATCATGTCCTTTGAGGTTCAGAGTAATGAAAAGATGCAAAGTCAACACTAACTGTACGTTGTAACTCGTTTCAGACTAAACTTTACACTTGGGTTGGTTGCACCATCTCTACTTAACCTGTAACATTAAAGAGTACTCCACCAATTTAGCATTGAACTCCTAAAACATTGTTGGACCCAAAAAAAGCACTCTTCTATGATAGAAATCAGGAGCCTTTTCCACACGGATCTCAGCGTTACTTTTCATAAAAGATTGTTGAAGCTACAGATACATGTGCGAGTCCTGTGGAGCGATAACATGCTCATGACTGGGTCACAAGCATGGCATTTGTTTTGATTAGTGAAACGTGTCAACAGGAAATTATTTCATAATGCAAATCGTAGCTTGCGTGTTGCAAATTTGATCTGAAATGACCAAATGACAAAAAAGGCTCTTTATTATCTGCACAAACACTAAAAGGTCAATTGTGTTGTCCTTTTCCTGAAATTTGTGACATAAGAACGCCGCGTGCACATCAAATAAAAACAACTGGAAGCTCAGGTGCACGACAATAACAAGTTAATATAAAAAAAAGTCAAAGTGAACCCACGCATTGCTTCTTCCTCCTGCTAAGCTGTACTTATGCAACATAACAAGTGGGTTGAAATGTTGCACAAGTAAAACCTACTGAAGTTTCAGTAACCTTCCTTTGCTGTCTTGAGACTGATCAGACATAAGATACATTATATACAGCATCTCACAGAAGAAAATGATGAATTGAAGCTAAAATATAGATTCTGAAACTTGTCACGTACCTGACCCGTGTGTTCAGTCTCATCCTTGTTAATCAGGTACATCAGGAAGAACCTGCACACCGGACGACATAAAGTTAGATAAAGATCAGAAATGCTTCAAACTTTGGTCTTTTTTTTTTGGTGTGTTTGTTGCTGCACTCACAGGTAGTTAGCTAGGTTGTGCTCTTGTAAGGTGTGGGTTTCAAACCCGTGAGGCGTCCGGTCAAAGTAGTCATTCCCAATGCCACAGATGAAGCATTTGGTCTGAAAGAAGAATACGAGGGGATGTTCACATTTCGATACAGACACACCACAGCTGGTCAGCTTACAAGCACTTCCAGTAACATTTAGGAGGCTCTGGCAGCACAAATGGAATATAATCTCCAGAACTATGTTTTCATTAGTGTATTATCACAGCAATTGTTGTATTAATTATTGGACAATTTTGGCGATTGTCATGCTGCATTTGACCCAAATGAAATTACAAAGACTGACAGTAAATCGTGCTGCACTGAAACTGACGTGTTGATTGATTTTCTGTGGTGTCACAAATCTCACAAAGATAAATCATTTTTTTAAAATAAAAAAATAAAAAATAGTTTAAAAAGTCAGGACTGTAACTTGATGAATGACAAACAAAAGTTACTGTTGAAGTTTTAACTCCTTTTCACTTTTAAATGTTAAGGTAAAAATGTGTGACAAAACAGCATCATAATGAGGCACTGGCCTACAAATCTTGTTCCCCAGATAAGATAACATGTTTGTTTGATGCAGACCCCCAAAAATCTCATATCCTCATGATTTTAACAGTATTTTCGGTGAAAATCTAAATTGTGATGTAAAAATGATCATTCCAACTAATTGTGAATCATATCGCAATTGCAAAATAATAGCAATATGTTGTTTTTACTGTATTGCCCAGCCTTACACCAACCCTATCGAACTGTACTAACTGGGAAAACCAACCAATTTTCCTCCACATCTATGCATCAGTGTATGACTGAAGGAGTTGTTTCCTCTTAATCTACACTTTCTCACCTCCATGTCCTCCTTCACCTGCTCCTGCTGGTCTCTCAGCTCACCAAAGGCATCAATGATCAAACCTGAAGGAGGGTGCAAAAGCTGGTCATAGCACTGAGCAGATCTTAACACATCTATCAGGCTGATATGAAAACATGACGCGGCTGCTGTATGTGGAGATAATACACGTGAGTCTGTGTTATAGATCTACTAAAATAAACAGCATGTGAAGATTTACCCTGAATGATGGCCAGCAGGATGACAATGACAAAGAAGAAGAAAGTGATGTCAAACAGGATGCGGTACAGCTCATAGGGGTCTCCAGCTGGGTCCTCCAACTCGTCTCCAATACCACCTCCAGCTCTCACACCCACGTACATGTGGAACAAATAGCACTGTTGGCGGAGAGAAAAAAGGGAAACTTACTTAGAGCTTTAGTCATTTCACATTTTGTTTAAAGCTGAAATGATGAGTAGAGTATCGAAGGCAGCTGTATTTTGTTCTGTGGTAGGGAAGGAAAATCTAAATTTTATTTTCTTCCTTCATTTCAGACCAAAAAAATGAATAAATCAAGTGCACTTTGTGGCGGAGAATTCAGTGTGCAACTGGACATTTGGTGTCATCTATTGCTAGAAGACAAAAAGCAAAAGCCTGAAGAGCAAAATATGTATATAATAAGACTGCATTGTGCAGAAAATGAAATATTTAAGTTCACAAAAAAAAAAAAAAAAAACCTTTACTTGGTCCAGTAGTCACCTCCTGCATTCATACACATCCTGATGAAGGCCAGTTAATCTAAAATGTTCAACCACTCAAAATAAAAGCCTCAGGAATCTTTTTCAGCTCCAAACATTTGACCTCACAGGGCTGCAGCCTTTTTTTACTTCCTCAAAAGGAAGCCATTTTCATAAGTTAACAGACTTCAGAAGTGGTCAGACGTACTGTCATCATGTCGTCACACTTCATGTCGGGTTCATCCTCATCCTCGCTCTTATTGTAGAACTTCCTGAAGAAGTTGAAGGCCACCACGGTGTAGAGATAGACGACCACGGCCAGAAGGCCCACAGTCAGCACAAGCTAGAAGGAGATGCAGTTTTTAATAAATATGGTACTTGCATGTAATGAGACATTTTATTGGACCTTTATTTATTCCCAGTGAACAAATGAGCTGCGAGTTGAGGGGGCAGCAGCCTCCTCGAAGCACAAATGACTGACTCTTGTTTAAATGAAGATTTACACAAGAAGAGTCAGATGTGGTTTTTTTTAATGGGAAAGTGGAGCACAAAAGAACTGCAAGTATTTCAAGGCCTCTACAGCTGAATTGGGGATTTCAGGGCAACTCTCATCAGTGTATCAAGAAGACAGTTCAACCCTTGATTTACTTTTACCTATTTCACCAATTTATTCACTACTTTCAGCTTATTTATGGCATTTATTCAATACTAATTATCTTATTCTACAATCTGTCAGGGGTGCAAAGTACCCCTGGTTAGGAATTACTGATCTAAACATCTCAACCTGAGAACTATTCTCCCTTAATTAAATGAAGAAGCACAGTGAGAAGAAAATTCAAATCTATCTCGTCTTTAATTTGTCAGATAAACTAGGAAAGAAACTAGATATAAGTTTTCGTCTGCTCTTCGCTGTTAAACCTATTTTTCCACATTAAGTTATTTTCACAGTTTCTCACAAAAACCCTTGGCAGTAAAGTATGAATGACCCCAAGTCCCTATTAGTCAGAAGTGAAAATGCCTCTTGGATGAGAGGGGGTGGTGATACATCCTCAAGACTAAAACAGCAGATCATATTGCCTATAACTTTTTATTACGAATATAATTCCATTAATTTATTTCTCATGATGTTCATTTGAAGATATCCTGTGACCCGGAGGACTGTGGATCCTCATCAACATACAGTTTCTGTTTCAAAGCTCCATCCTTTTTTTTCCAGAGGATAATCTCTTGATTTAATTATGTTGATGTTCAGTCTGAATCAGTATGAATCACAATGCTAGTTGTTCTCTCCCTATTATGTA